TGCTGTCCCCCATAGCTTAGTGGTTAAGGGGGCTGGATACCACATGGCCAACTGCAGTTCAAATCCTGGCTTCAGTGGCTTGAAAATACGCTTGCCTTGCTCACGATCCTGACAGGATGGAGAAATAGAAGAGAACAGAGTGCAGTGTGACCATGCTCCATGGGCTGGGGCAGGTGCTTTCTCCCTCTCCTCTTTGTCTCTGGTGAGTGCATGTGTCCTCTGACAGTTAAAATTAGGATTTGTTAGGTGTATTAAATGTATACCATCATCAGATGGGAACTTTTTTCTTGACTTAATTTTCATACTGAGACTACTCAGTGTTTATGTCATGTTGGTGAAACCATATCACATCTAAAATCACTTTTGTACAAATCCCATACTTCTGAAACTACTATTCTAGGTATTCATGTGAAAGGAAAGCTGCTTGGACTGTATAAATATACAGCGGAAATGACTGGCCAGAAATACAAACTTGTCAGGGCCAGCAGGTGGCATGGTGGTTTAGAGGGCTGGACTCCCATATGGCCAACCACAGTTAAAGTCCTGGACCTGGTGGCTTGCTTTTTCACTTTACCCTCTCTTTCACTCTTTTTCTCTTTCACTCACTCACTCACTCACTCACTCTGTCCCTCTCTGGTCAAATTAAAATAAATAAATTTTTTGAGAGTTTTTTTGCTATAGGGTGCATGCACTCACCAGACAGAGAGACAGAAAGTGAGAAACCATCCCCCTCAGAGGGGATGGCCACGCCACAATCCCTTCTCCTCCATTCTCTGGGGATCCTGGGCACACACGCACACGCGCCTGGCGTGAGTTTAAGCCACCGGGTCCGAGACTCGAACTGCGGTCAACTACATGGGAATCCAGTGATAGAGCCATTACACCAACTGCTGGTTCTATAAAATAATTAAAAAAAAAGAAATACATACTTGTCAGACATGGAGATCTCTACAGAGGTCCATCCAGGGTTAAATGACTTCATTAGCTTGATTTATTTTTTTTTTAACAGAGATTTTTGCTATAGGGTTTGTGTGCTCACCAGAGAGACAGAGATAGAGACAGAAAGGAGAAATCACCCTCTTGTGGGGTTGGGTGGTGGTGGCCATGCCTCAATCCCTTCTTCTCCATTCCCCCTCCAGGATTTTGGGCACGCATTGCACATGCATCCTGCATGAGTTTCAAGCCACCGGGTCTGGGACTCAAACCATGGGCAGCAGGGTGTGAGACCAGTGATGTAACCATCATGGTATCTGCTGATCCTGTTAGCTTCATTTTTTACCTCTCCTTCAGTGTTTTGGTCCTCAGGGAGTCAACAGTTCTGTAGGATTTCACAGCTGGTTTCATAATGGGAATGTAAAAAGGTTCCTGTTTTGGGGAGAACAGCTGCTTATCAGAAAGAACCCTGGAATAGCCTCTCTGGAGGATTGGCTGTGATTCTGTATTATGACCAGAACAGAGCCGGGCATGTATACCAGGAAAGCAGTCAGTTCACCCTGGAGTCTAGAAACCATGTATTAGTATTTTGAGAAATTCTCAGGCCAACCAGATAGTGTGGTGAAGACATTTGGATCTCCCATGGCCAACTGCCTGGTTCAAGTCCCGGACCTGGTGATGTGAAAAACAGTCTAGGCAATGCGCATGTGTGCATGCACCCAAAATACTGAAGGGAAGTGGAGGAGAAGAGATTGTGGTGTGGTCATCCCCCTGACAGGGGCTTTCTCACTAGTTTTGTCTCTCTTTCTCTTCCTTCCTCCCCCCACCTCTCTCCTTGGAGCACACGTGCCCTGAAGCAAAACTTTTTAAAACTTTAAAAAATTTCCTGTGCTACAATGTAATTTGCCTCTTGGTGCTAGAGGGAAAACTTCATACAGATGTGATTTAAGGTATGGTACTTGCTGATACAATCTTACTTCCTTAGTATCCTTAGTAGCTTTAGTTATTTTTCCCTTTTAAAGATTGTGAACATTTTTTTTTTTCCATCTTTTGACTCTAGTGAAATAGTTCTAAGGGCTGGCAGGTGGTTTGGGGTTAGGGGTGCTGGACTCCCACATGGCTGACTGCGGTTCAAGTCCCGGACCTGGCGACTTGCTCGCTTGCTCACTCTTGCTCTCCGTTCTCTTTCTCTCCCCCCGCCCCCAGTCAAATTGAAATAAGTGAATGACTAAATAAAGTTAAATAACATAATTAAAAAAAAAGAAATAGTTCTAGAGGGACCAATCATCTAATAGTGAATGAGGACTTATACATAGTTTTTTTTAATAATTTTTTTTATTTTTATTTATTCATTCATTTATTTTTAATTTGATCAGAGAGAGACAGAGGTTGAAAGTGAGAGAGAGAGGAAGTGAGAAAGCAAGCCACCAGATTCAGGACTTGAACCCTGGTCGGCCATGTGGGAGTGTCAACGCCTTAGTCACCACGCCACCTGCTGGTCCCCAATATACATAGTTATTTTTAAGTGGTACAGTCTGCTACTGATTTTATATATATATATATAATTATATATATGATTATATATATATATGTTTTTTTCTTCTTTTTTTTTTTTTGAGAGGTTTTTGCTATAGGGTGCGTGTGCTCACCAGACAGAGAGAGACACAGAGACAGAAAGCGAGAAATCACCCCCCAGGGGGGATGGTCACACCGCAATCCCTTCTCCTCCATTCTCCTCTCGGGATCTTGGGCACGTACGCACACACGCTCGGCGTGAGTTTTAAGCCACCGGGTCTGGGACGCAAACCATGGTCAACTACGTGGGAGTCCAGCGACATAGCCATTACGCTAACTGCTGGTTCCCCCCACTATCTGGTTTTTGAAAAGAATGTTTTTAAAAGTCCAGAGGAAATCCCACCTATAAGAATGAATGTTCTATGTATTTCTGGACATATTAAAAGGCAAGTAAAGCATTAAGAGTCCCTTATGTTCTCCTTCACAGTCTCAGTCCTTGCCCCAGAGGCAGCCCTGGTGAATTTGTTGTGTGTTGAGCGTGACATGGAAAAAAAACTGTGTTGTTTCAATAATTTAAAGTTTACGTCTCCTTTATTGTAGCCCTGTTTTTCATTTTAACTATTTTTATCATTAACTGTCTGTCATCCTTGTTCCTTGATGTTGTAATTTATTTTCCCTTTTTATTTCTTTCTTTCGTTGGTTTGGGGAAGTTCTAGTTGCTATAGCTATCACCAGCTGATGAGAACTCATCTTTTATAAAAGATGTATCAGCCAGCTACTTTTCCTTAAAATTTTCAGTTATTTCTTCATGGCCAAAAGTAACTCTTTTTTTTTTTTTTCTTTTTTTTTTGGAGAGATTTTCGCTATAGGGCGCGTGCGCTCGCCAGACAGACAGAGAGAGACATAGAGACAGAAAGCGAGAAATCACCCCCCAGGGGGGATGGTCACGCCGCAATCCCTTCTCCTCCATTCTCCTCTCGGGATCTTGGGCACGCACGCACACGCGCCCGGCGTGAGTTTTAAGCCACCGGGTCCGGTACGCGAACCGCGGTCGACTACGTGGGAATCCAGCGACATAGCCATTACGCTAACTGTTGGTTCCCAGCCAAAAGTAACTCTTGTTACTCGTGATTTTGTGTATGGAAAGTTATGGATGCTAGAAGGCATCAGATATCCAGAGTACAAGTGTTACTGTGTCACAATCACAGCTTTGCAAGTAAGTATCAAAACATGAAATTCAACATGCTGCATTTTCTCTGACATCTATCTTAAATTCTGTATAACCTACTTTTTTTTTAGGTTTCTGCTTTAGGGTACATGCGCTCATTGGAGAGACAGAGAAAGTGAGAAATTACCTCTGAGGGAGATTGACCACATCACAATCCCCTTCCATTCTCCTGAGATTTTTGGCACATACACATGTGTGCATGCCTGGCCTGAGTTTCTAGCTGCTCAGTCTGAGATTCATACCACAGTTGCCATGTGGGAGTCTAGCTCCTTTACCACCATATCACCTCCTGGCTCCATAACCCACTCTTAGAGCTTGATTTAAAAAAAAAAAAAAAGAAAAATGGGGGCCCACAGGTGACATGGTGATTAAAGCGCTGGACACTTCCACATGGCCGACCACGGTTCGAGGTCTGAACCTAGTGGCTTGCTTTCTTTTGCACTCTCTGTCTCTCTCTGGTCAAATTAAAATAAATAATTAATAAAATTAAATAATTAAATAATTCTCTAAAAAAAATTGACAGAAGGAACATGTGCTGCCAGAGAGTGAGAGACACAGAGAAAAAAGCAAGAAAGCCCCCCCCCCACACACACACACACATACACATGGTCACACTGTAATCGCTTCTCCTTGTTTCCCTCTTTTTTGAGGCTCTTGGGTATGCACACATGTGCTCCAAAAGCGTTTCTCAACACTGGGTCTGGGACTTGAATCTTGTGGTTGGCCACTTTGCATCTATCCACCTTAACCATTATGCCATGAGCTGACCCTTAGAACTTAATTTTTTTTTCCACTTTTTTGTTTGTTTTATTTTGTTTTTCCATAGGGCGCATGTGCTTGCTGGAAAGGGAGAGAGAAAGAGGAAGTGAGAAGTCACACCCCAGAGGGCATGGCCACTCCATAATCCCTTTTCCTCCAGTCTCCTCTTGGGATTTTGGGAACACACGTGCCTGGTGTGATTTTTCACAGGTCCAAGACTCCAGCTGTGGTCAGTCCTGTGAGAATACAGTGCCTTAATCACCATGTCACCTGCTGGCCCTAGAAGTTAATTTTTTTTTTTTTTTTTTTTTTTTTTTAATTATTTCCCACGGATGTGTGTGCTTGCAATAGATAGAGACAGGTAGAGGGAAAATGAGAAATCATCTTCTGGGGGGATGGCATGTCACCATCCCTTCTCCATTTGCCTCCTGGGTTCTTGGGCACATACACACATACACCTGGCATGATTTTGAAGCCACCAGGTCCACCGTTGGCCATGTCGGAGTCCATTGATGTAATTGCTACAGCATCTGCTGCCCCTCCTCCCCCTAGCTTAATTTTTAAATAACTTTTTTTCCGGCTTTTCTTTCCTTTCTTGGTTCGTGCACAGTCTCGCTGGGTCACAATCCTCTTTGCCTCAGCTGCTCAAGTCACTGGGACTTCAGGCCTGTGCCACTGCACTGGGTTTTTTAGGGTTGGTCAGGAATTGAACCTGGGCCTCCCATGTGGCCTCAGTCTGCTGAGTAGCAGCATCTACTAGCATGCACTACTACTGTGGCTGGGCATGTTCAGGCTTTAAAAAGCCTCTCTTAAATCTATGCAGAGAAATATGCCGCTAGATTTCCTAAATCAGGTGTTCCCAGAAATGACAGCACTGATCTCTGCCAGCAGCCACGTACCTTTGGTTGTATAATGGAAGTAGATGAGATTGGGGTGGGGAATGGAATAGAGCCCTTGGAATGTAGCTACTTTAGTATCTGTTTTCGCATTTCCATCATTTTGTTAGCTCTTAAAGACCCTTAAAGCTTTTTCTCCTGTTATCAAGATTTTTTTCTGGTCTCACTCTTCATAATTTTGTTACATTGATTTTTATAGACAAGTGGACTAGATTTAAAATTTTTAAAAACATTAATCTTTTATCATTCCCAGCAAGACTGAACTTGTTTTGGGAATTTCTTTTACTATAGGCATTGCATTTACAATTATTATTGCTTGTTATGGGGATTCTGGTGGAGGTGATATTAGTACCTATTTGTTTTTTATACACCTATAGGACTATCTGAGCCAATGGATTAGAAACAATAGTCTTTCTGAACTGTATAGTATCTTTTCATTTGCATTTTCTGAAAGAAAGGAAAGCTGCTACTGTTACTCAGTGGGACTATGATTTTGTTAGAAAGAAATGACTTGATGTTAAATTTGGAAGGCAGATTGTCGTAAGTGGTTTTTCCCACTGCATCTTTGGCTTAATACTCAGTTCATAAATATATGACTGGAAAGTTCTGTATATATCAAGTTGTATAAAGTGTTTTCAAAGCATCTGTAACCATGCTATGTTAAGACATGGTGGTGAGTCCTTTTGTAAAATGAACCCTGTATTTCTAGCTGAGTGTGTTTATTAACAAGGAAACACGGAGTATAGGAGTAACACAGATTTTTTAAAAGGTTAATTACGGAAGGGTTTGTGTCGGTAGATTTTAATCCGACTTCTAAAGGCAAAGCTCAGGTACCTAGAGAACTTAGTGGAGTTGGTAAAGTTTGAGGTGGGTGTAAGAGTGACCAGGTAGGTCCCAGGTGTAATGGTCACTGTGCAGCAGCAGTTGATCCCTCGTGAAGGCACAAGGGTTTTCTTGTGTACTTCTAAGGTCTCTTCCTGTTCTGGACTAGACTAGAACTAGGCAATGAGAATTTGGACTCTGCAGCTTCTTTTGCAAGGAATGGTGGGAAAGAGGGAGGACTGTTCTCCACTTGGGTATTCAAAGAGTCAGGGAAAGGAAAGGTTTAGTTAAACCTTCAGCTTTCTTCCTAGCTTTAGCGTTCATTTCACTGAAGGGTTATGGATCTTATTTCAGAGGAAAGCATCCTGCTCCGTCCCAAACCAGTTGTGACACATGGCTCCTAACAAGTGTACCAGTGGGGAGGGCTGTAGTGGTCACACTGGAGAATGTGAAAGGACTTCCCCTCCCCTGCTTCCATTTACAGATGGATGCTTCCATTGCTTTGTGTGCTGTTGCATTTTCTCTTCCCTCTTCGTTTTCCCTCAGCTAAGCTCTAAGCTAATTCTGTGCAAAAGAAATACTTAATGTTTTTGTAAATTGCTTGCCATTAATGCCTGATACTATGCAGTAAAGTAGGATTCTGCATACCATTAAATATGTGAAATAATTACAGACTTTTAAGGTTCTTTTGAAATTACAATACTAAACTCAGTTCACTTTTGCTTAGCCTTCACAGTTGTTGATCACATAGCATGGTCATCCACTCACAGCTTAAAAAAATACAGGGAGCATCGGAGAGAATGGGTAAAGTAAAATTTTGATGTTTTTAAAATAGCACCTAAATCTATGGAATTTGATTTGGTTTTCTTGTTTGTATGGGAGGGAGAGGGTGGAGGGCATTAAGTGGGGCGGGGGGTGGATATTGGGGAAAAAACAGCATGCACCACACGAAATGATGTCAGTTACTGCCTAGACCAAGATTTTGAATGTTGAAACTAAAATTTAAATATAAATAATTTTCAGAAAAGGCAAGGCCATAGTGTTGGGAAGTACAGTGGGGATATTTTCACTCCCACTAGATAGAAGGGGATTTTAAAAATGGAACTATTTGATTCTAGTTCAGATAGGAACCTTCTTTTTAGAGTGGCCCATCCATACTCCCAGTGAAATTGCCTGCCTCAGTGCCACTCAGGCTCTGTTACAGTGGTGATAGCCCTGAAGAGGAGTCATATGCATTCCAGCTTTTATTGTATACCTGTGACTCAGGTGTTCTCTTATAAAGGTTATGATTCATGAAATTTAGGAAGGGATTAAGCAAAAGAGGGAGGCAAGAGAGTTGCTACTTTAAAGACAGCTGCTCGATAGGAATTTTCAGTGCTTCTCTTCAAGTAAAGAACATTTTGTCTGCCAAATCTCTAAGTCAGTGTCTAATTATAAAACCCTGGCTTTGTGGTTACATACAGAGCCTTAGTTATTGTTGAGGTTGTAGGGTAGAGTCCTCCATGTTTTTATAGGTTAGGCATTTTGTTGTGGTTGATTTAGATAACTTAGTCTAATCTATGCTCCATTATTTAAACCTTTTTTTGTTATTTTTACACTCAAAATTTAGATCGAAAAAATGAAAAGTTTAAAAAATCAGATCTTACATAAAAAAATAAAATATTCCAACCCCGACTTGCTTTTCTCCTGTATGAAGCCATTTGCCAAAGCAGAATATGGTTTATTTACTCTTCTCCAAACCTTCATGCCTCTCTAAGCTTTTTAAAAGATTTGACTGGAATTTGGAAAACTTTTTCTCTCTCTTCCTTCAGTCTGAGTTTGTTCCTTTAAATTTTGGCTTCTACTTAGTGCATGAAGCCTTTCCCAACCTCTCCAGTCCTTGGTGGTCATTCTGGTCTTAGAATCCCTGAAATGCCTCCTGTCTGAAACTCCATCATTTGGCACTTGGATCATGCTATCTTGTACTATTTCTTTATTTACATGTCCTGTTTCTCTAGCAAAGACATGGGCTCCTGGAGTGTAGGGCTCGTCTGACCTGCCTCTGTGACTCCATTGCGTACACAGAGGGCATGCCACTACTAGGTTTGATTCCGTGATTTGGATCTGATATGAGTGTGACAGGGCACATTTTTTTTCCTAATTTATGTTATTTTTGTATGGCCATATACCCAGAAAACCCAAAGTTGTAGAGTACATTAAATTCATAAAATAGTTCCTTGTGTTATATACAGATTTGGTTCATCTATTTATAGTCTTCCCTCCCCCCCCCCTTTTTTTTAAATGGGTGCTGTTTTACCTATTTTCTTTTGAAAAACATGGTTTGGGCCAGATAACTTGACAAAAAAACAAAATTGCCAGTGTTTTTATTTTAAAATTCTTTGTTAGTTTAGCCAAATTATACTTCCATGGCATTAGCCCAGATAAATTTACTAACTACTGTGTGGTTATGTAGCCAGATTATTTAAAATGTTAACCTTAAAGTTCTTTAAGTAGAACTTTAAAATTATCAGTAAACACATACTCAGTTATTAGCTCTCCCTATTTCAGTTTTTTAAGATTTTTGCCAAAGGGCATCTGCATTTGCCAAAGAGAAAGACAGACCGACAGACAGTGAGAAGGAAAGTGAGAAATCACTCCCTGGGGGGATGGCCATGTCATCTTCTCCTCTATTCTGGGATTTGGGGCACACACATGCCTGGCATGATGATATTCAAGCCACCAGGTCCTGGACTCAAATTGCAGTTGGCCTTGTGGGGGTCCAGCCACCACCATGCCATCTGTCAGCCTTTTACCTTTAAAATTTTTTTTTATATTTTAGTTTTGCTCTAGGGCATGTGCACTTGCAGGAAAGAGAGAGAGCGGGAAAGTGAGAAATCACCCCCTACTCCCACCCTCAGGGGATGGCCACTGGCAATCCTTTCTCCTTTCAGGATTTTCTGCGTGCATGCACATGCACCAAGCCACCAGGTTCGGGGCTTGAACCAGTCAGCCATGTGGATCCAGCTGCCTTAGCTACCACGCCACCAGCTGACACAATAAACCTATTTTTCTTCATATTTCTGTATCTCAAATTATTAGAGATTTTATTATTTCATTATTATGTTTTAAAGATTTATATAATGGCTAGTATTTGATAGCTGTTATTTGTTGTGTTTTCTTCAGTTATCAAATATTTATGAAGCACCCATTTTTCAGTAGGAGTTATTTGGCCTTTTGGCATTTATTGAAACAGATTCTTTTTTAAAAGTACACTAGGGTTACTGATTGCTATATTCATATTTAGAATTGTTCATATTTTACCTGCTATCTGTGTCTTCAGGGCACATATTCTTTAATATTAGATTTATTGTGATTTCTTAAGCAAAATCTGCTATCCTACTTGATGAAATTTTTGATTGGGTAAACGTCCAAGAATCTTGTTTTAATTCCAAAACCTGGCTTATATGACCAGTGAGCCCTTAGTTTAACAAAGCGCTAAGATGATAGTGCTGTTTGTATTACCAAAAGCTTAGACATTTGCAGCAGGGAGGCTCCTAGATGTGCGAGGGACTCTGCCTACCACTTAAAACATTTGATCAACCTTAAATTCTTTAACATAATTAGGGTACAGATTTAAAATAAACCTTTTTCCCTTAGTTGCCAAGAAGTAACAAGTCTCTAATACAGCATGGTTGTTCTGGTGTGAGGGTCTCATAGTACGGTTTTCCTCTCAGTACCATCCTCACATGCGCCTGAGGCCCCACCAAAGTCTTGATGAAATATTCTTTCTAAAAAAACATTTTTTGTAAAACCCCTTTTGGCTCCAGGACCACTTTCCAGAGTCCTAGCCTTGGCTTTTTACCAGTCATATTCTTCTCTGGGGTTGAACTTGAGTCATTATTAGAAAAAAATTAAATACCCTGATTTTGTTCACTTTTGTTTTTATATATGAGAATCTTTACACTCAACATGTACTTCTAGATGCTGTATTGAAATTGCTAGCAGAGTTTATTCTATACAAACTGAACAATCTGGCCCCTTGTTTTATTTGTAAAGGTTCAATGTATCTATGCCTGCCTACTTCAGTCTGCAAGGGAGTGTCAGAAAGGCCCCGCATTCGCCGAGCCGTGAGTTATCACTAACTTTTCAGATGTGTTAAATGAATGTGGAACAAAAGCAGTTGTGTTTAGAAAGGAAAAAAAGAACCATCAAAACCTTTATTGTAGTAGCAGGCTTGAACATTAAATGGATTATTCCAAATTGTGTCAGAAATAACCTACATGAGAAGAGCCTCTAGAAAACCTATTGTTGAACTGCTCTGAAGCTATGTTTTAGCTATAAATTGTTCTTAAAAATATGTGTGCCCTGGTTGCTAATTACAGTGTTCTCTAAATCTTTTCTAACCAAGTTAAAACAATTTGAACAAAATCTTACCCCACCTAAAAATGACAGTATTTAGTTGAATATAAATTAAGCTCTTCAATATAAGATCATTGTGAAGGGGTAAAGTTTTAAACTTTTTTGTTATTCGCCTGTGAAAATGTAAAAATTAAATGATTAAATAATTTTGTAGTTGGAAGTTTTGGGGTGCTGCAGGCATCATGTGAAATACTGAGGTATTTACAGTCTCTCTTCGTACCAACACTTTTTGCTTCAGTAATTCACCAGTAGGTTTTCATTTGTCAGTGATAATATCAATTTAAAGCTAAAATTAAAAAAAACAAACAACTATTTCTTAGAGCTTAACATTTATATAGAAAGAAGAAACATCCTTACAAGTTTTTCGTTTTTCCAAAGAGAGTCTAAGCAAAAAAAAAAAAAGAAAAGAAAAGAAAAGAAAAGTAACATCTATATTATATTAGAACTAGTTACTTTTTCTCAGATTCTTTCAGGCTTTTTATAGATAGCCATATTTGATAAGCAGGTTGGATTCTTCTGTTGCTTAGGAGGTGTATTGTGTTATATAAAGATGGAATGAATTTAAATATACCTACTTTGGCAGTATGAATCACAGACCACAGAAAAGTTGGAGGTATGGAACCTTTGGAGGCATTAAAGTTAACATTTCATTTAGGCAATGTGCCTTTGTTTGACTGGTGTGTAAGTCCTTCTTCCAGGTTTGTACGCTCTTAAACGCGTTATTCTACCCTCTCTAACTCCTCCCAGCAGCAAAGGGGAGACACTACAGCTGGAACAAAATAGTGGAAGAAATGGCGTCTGGGGTTCAGTGGGGATTCGCAGTGTGTATGCAATGTTTGCAAGATTACTTTTTCATTTTTAAATTAATGTACATAATTTCAAAATAAATCAGTGCTTAATTCAAGAAGGGAACATTATATACCAGTAGATACTCTCCTAGTGAGTCTGCTGCAAGTTGCTTAACCTCTTGGGGCCTCAGTTTCCTCATCTGCAATATGAAGGATTGGACGTGATAACATTTAAGGT